CGCCCCCGCGAGCTCTGTGTCTGCGACCGCAAGAGCTCAGGGCCACCAATTGAGCTCGGCTCATGGCTCGTCTACTTCCCTAGCTATTGCCGGGAGGCGCGGGGTGTCTGATGACGCGGGACGTCCTGATCTTTCCGATCAAAAGCGTCCACAGCTACTCAACAATCTTGCCGAAGTGGCGCCTCAAACTCCCACGAGCTTTCGGAGTCGGGGTATTCCCGCCACGCCACCAGATATTGGGTTTGACCCTGGTGACGACGTCGTCCAACAAAACGTTCCACGTGATAGTGGACGTCACCGTTCGCATCGAGAAATGCCGGTGGCGGGCGGTGATGACCGGGTCGACCGCCTTCCGGTGACTCGTGATGCTCTTCGAGCCCTTAATGACGAGGTCCTTCGTAATCGGAGCCCCGCTGAGCGTAATGCTGAAGAAGCATATCGCTGTGCGGACGCTCATGACGATTTAAAGCACGTCGTGCGCCGCCTGCCTCGCCTTGCGGACTACCGCTCTCTATCGGAGCGACTCCTAGCCGTGGAGCAGGCGAACGCATCGCTGCAGGCAACGGTGAAGTGCTTGGCACCATTGGAAATGGAGGTTGTTGCACTCCGTGCTCAGAACCAGTTGCTGGTTTAACTTCTGGGTGGCCGCGGGCCCGTGGGATCCGCTCCGGTGCCAACGCTTCCGCGTTCACTTGCGCCGGATCCCAGTACGGCTTGAGCTTGCCCATGTAAAACACCGGGTGGGTGCGCATCCGTTTGAAAGGTTCAGCGTGTACTCCAGGCCCCGTTCAGCCACAACCTTAATCGGTCTGATAAACCGTGGACGAAGTTTCGTCCGGAAGATAGCAAAGGCTGCATGTGTAGGCAGTTTTTTTAAATTCAATAAAACCAGGTCCTCGACCTTAAAACTTTCTACTTTGCCTCTTCCTTTTTCATCTGCACATAATTTCTGTAGGTCTTGGCTTTCAGCCATCGCATCGCGAACGTGTCGTAGGACACTCAGT